GTTTAAAATAACTAAACCCTTGAAAAGTTCTATTGAAGGAAAGCAGAATGTGATTAATAGTTTTATTAGTTTCTCGAATTTATATTTTTACAAACATTTATTGCCTATCCCAAAGGACCCTTTTAAGAAAAAAATTTTTTCACCTTTAATGTTTCCTCTAATAATATAATAATTTTGATTTGATTACCAATTAACATGAGGCAATACTAATACTGAAACAATTTTTCCTAGGATTGGATGATCTTTTAATTAGAAATTTAAAAAAAAAAATTCTTAAAAACTATATATATACATCTAAAAACATAATTAGTGGTGATGGAATGAACCTTTTGATGTAGAAAGATTTCTGGCAGTTGTTGTAGAAGTAGAGATAAACTTTTAGAAAACACACAGTTGACGTCTTTGACTGATGACCAGGTAGCGATAGCATAACTGCATAGTAGAAGGATGAATGATTTGCAGACAAATGTCCATGAGTTAACACATAATTTTTTTTTAACATTCTTGAAACATATATTTTTCCACATTTCTACATTTTAGAAGGGAATAAACACACCAGGATTTATCTATGACTTATTACCTTTTTTAAATAATAAAGAAAAACAAACAATGACACACAATGTTAAGTAACTGTTAAGTAATATCATGTAATCATGTTAAGTTTTGCAAGCACTAAGAAGAGAAAAGGTGAAAAAAAGAGAACAAAATCGCATAGCAAAGACTTTTTATAGCACACATGATTACATTAAACAGATTACATTTTGGATCACATTAGAAGAATGTTTACATTAAGTGAATGAAATTTCAGATACATAACAGATTAATATTGGGATGCTGGGTTAAGATTTCATCGCATTCCAGAAATAAATGTGCACTAGGAATCAGATGATGGATTGCTTATCAGAATAACAGAAAGTAAAGATTATATTATAAATATAGCTTTACTATTTTTAGAATGAAGAGGGAAGCATGCTCAAATTTAAAAGGGAGATTAAATGGCTATTAACTTTTTATTAGAAAGGTAGATATTTTATATTTTACACATATATATATATATATATATAAATTGGCTTATAATTATGTTAATAACTTAAACAGCCAGCAATGGTAATAACTTTAACTACATCATGGATAAACCCTAACAGCTTTATGTAGCCAGCAATTGTGAATCAAATCTAAAAAAAACTACCAATGTTAAAAAAAAACTACCAAATGCTTATCCACTTGGATCACTGACGTCATTCATGTCATACATGTATCCATGTAAAAATGAAGAAAACTACAAACAACAAAAATCCCATTTAGCCACTAGGTACCAAATTCAGAAGAAATTATCAGGACCCATGACCTTACTCATTTTGGAGCTACTGGACTGTAATGTTAATGATATATTAGCTAATTTTTAATATTGAAATAAATTGCATCTCTCTTATTGAAAGATGGTAAATGAAAATTGGATATTATTGTTTTCAATATCAGCATACTGAATTCAAGAAATTAGTCCATGTAAATGAAAATCTGAATGTCCTATGTAAATCTCACTATATATACATAAAAAAATTTTATTATGTTCAACACTCTCATAAAAAATGCAGTAATCAGTATTTGTGTGTTAGCAACACTTGCCTACATCACCAAAAATACTGTTTCCTGCAAGCAATTGGCAACCCTAGAAACTATTTCAATTTCTCCTACATAAATTAAGAGTTTTAATTTTTTTCTTGTTGACATTTTCAGGGAAAAGAGGCAGTTCAGACACGTGGGATGACTTCTTTTTTATTTCAGTGTCAACTTCAGATAATATGGAGCAAGCACATTTTTTTTTTTTTTTTTTTTGCGGGTGTAACCCTTTCTTTACCTGTGAAACATTCTCAGCACAATATCTAAGACTTCATATCACTTTTGCCCCCCCCCTTTGTTTTTTAAATTATTATGCATTTTCTACATTTATCAAGAAAGAAGGTTATTTATCAAGAAAGAAGGTGTTACATAACGAAACTCAGAAACTTTGATCAAACACATGCCAAAAAGTATAAAATTGGAGGAGGTAGCCAACTATGAGCCATTTCAGCCATATTTTTTCAGAAATTATCCTATAGATACTTTTTTCTTTTTTTTAAAGAATGAACTAGTTTATGTAATTGTCTTTTGAACATTTGAATTATCATTTTATTTTAAATGTTTCTGAAGTTTTCAACTTATTTTATTCTCCTCTAGCTGAGTAACATTTCTTTTTTCTTAAATAGCAAATTCATGGTTATAACTTGTGAATCTCTTGTAATTGTGCTAAAGAATTACTTACTCAAACACCTTTGTAGTCTTAATTACTCTAGTCTGTTTCAAGTTTTAATGCACACACATCAAAAGGAATCCGTAATTTCTAGGCATATGATATTTGCCAAAAAAATTAAAAGTGTTTTAATTCCTATACAGTAAACCTGCATATGACAGAAGATATATGACAACAACTGCAATCTGCATGTCTAAGCATAGTAAATCTGCATACAACAGAATATATGTGACAACGGCAGGCATATTAGTGAAAAAAGAACAGGGAACTGGTTTGAGAGAAGTCATCTGCCTTCTTATTCAACAGAATTGATATGGAGACAAAGACTAGTTGTAGAGAATAATATCCATCAGATATAAACAAAACAGTTTCATCGATATGGTGATGTAAAAAATATATTCCAACACCAAAAAGCACCCACAGAGTTTTGGCAGAGTATCGGCAAGTACCAGTTAATACAGAAGTACCCGATAATTTAATTAACATAAAACACTGCATTATGAAAATATATTTATAATCTTGTTAAAAATTTCTAGATAATAATATAAAAGCTTCAATTACCTTACAGTAAAAGGTAAAAATATATTTACAGGTACCCATTGGCAAAAAATGGTGATTTTTGGCGGTACATGGATACTGAGGTTGTGCAATTCAGCCAAAATAACAAGACAAAGAACTGCACAAACTCAGTATCCATGTACACATCGACCCGTTTTCACTAAAAAATCATCAGAGAATTGCACAAACTTGGCATTGCACACTGCCTTGACATTATCCATGTACACATTGACCTATTTTCACTTTAAAAAAAAAAAAAAAAATGAGAGAATTGCTCAAACTAGGCATTTGCACACTCCCTTGATTTTGACCATGTACACATCGATTATATTCACTTAAAAAGTCAAAGGAGCAGCCAACAAAAAAAAAATATACGGTACTATTCGGTTTCGAGGGCCGTAAAAAAATTGCAGCAAAAATGTATGCACAAAAGCGCCAAATCTAGCAAACGCGTCCATTTAACAGCGCGCCACATCTAGCGTACGTGCTTATTTCAGATTGTGTAAGTTTAAATAGTTCTATATTTCTTAAGACGCCATTGAAATACTAATTTAATTTTTAAATCCTTTTTTGATATCCTATGAATTTAACAATTTGGGAATTGCCCATGATGAAAAGTCGGCAATAGAATTTTGGGTAAAGTGCAGAATCACCCACTGCTTGACGAGTTTTTAAGAATTGCACATACTTGGTATCCATGTGCACATCGATCTATTTTCACTTTAAAAAAAATCCTAAAATTGCACAAAAATGGCACTGTGCACACTCTTGACTTTATCTATGTACACATTGACCTATTTTCACTTACAAAGTAAAAGAAAATTGACAAAAATCCAATTGTTTTTACCCTTGTAAAAAGCGGCAAACAAATAAGTGAGCGATTCTGCACTTTACCGAAAATATTTTCAAAGAAAAGGCATCATTGATCATAGAAAATTATGTTTCAACAACCAACGAGATGAAATCATGCTTTAGCGATAAGTCGGTGGCGAAATAGCGATGCAGGCATCCATTCAGTTATGTTAGAAGCAATTTTTTTATAATTATAATAATGAACTGAAATAATTATTACTTTTATGCTTCCATTCAGTCATTTTAGCCTTTTTCATATAAATTATAATAATAAAAAAATATTATATCAAATTAACCTTTCATCTAAATTAAAACATCAATCTTAAATAGTTATTTACTATTATTATACTTCCTTTCTTGCTGCAATTATTAGGGTTGCCGCAATTATTTTTGGCAGCATTGGCATCAACAATAGTTTGGCAATTTTTTACGGCCCTCGAAACCAAATAGTACCAAATATACAATCTAAATAAACTACATTTTAAATAAAAAATGAAATAACAATACAATAGGAAATGAAATTCAATCTTTACACTGCACAAAGGAAATATACCACTTACCTTATTTACAAATTAACATGTCTTTAGTCAAACAAAATTCCTTAACAGCATCCAAAAACATCTTAAAATTATCTAAACTAGAATCTGTATACTGGCGTCACCACATAAATTCAGAAAATAAGAGTAAAATATATCCTCCATAGCGTCGTTATTGTCTGACGTTCGACCATACACATTTCCTTCCTACAAACAAGACACTTAATAATAGCTACTAAGTAAACCTTCATTTACAAGCCCAGTGAAATAATGCTCTTTTCCCCTTTCTTTCCAAATCGTAACGAAACTTCGAATTAATCTTACCACATTCAGCCATTTTACCATCTAAACCACAAAACAAGCAATATACTTCCTAGCCAACACGTATCAAAACCCCTTACGAATTTATCACAATCGTGCAACCGATTGGCATCATATTAGGATTTCCATAACATTCAACTACTCAGACTACCATAAATGAAACAACTTCGCAATAATACAAGGGGTACCCTTCTCTTTAATCTAACCCATTAAAATTATAAAATATTGCTAACAACAGCTACAGAAAATCAAAATACACTTTTTTCTTTATCATTAAATAGAACATATTGCATTACATGATTTTAAGCTGATTATAAAAGCAAAGATGATATTAGTAACATACAAAAATACATTGTCATAGCATACACTGAAAACAAATCTCATGCACAGTAAAACTGTATTATAGTATAAATTCTAATTTGAGCTAAATATACAGGTATTACCTCTTTTGATCCAGATATGCTTTCTGAATTTGGTAGGCATACTAACTAAAAATGTTTCTCCTTCTGGTGTAGTAATTTCATGAAGATTATTCCCACAACTTCGCAACACCTGTAAATGAAATAAATTTATAAAAAACTATATACATCCATAAAAAAAGTCTTTTATACCTTAAAAATCATTAAATGCTTTGCATACAAAAGCAACAAATGTTTTTGGAATCTAAACTTAATATTTTCATATTTCGATTACTTTAAATTCACATAAATAGTTATTACATATCATTTTGCAATTGAAAGTTAACGATACTAATTCAATGATATACAGTACAAAGTCCATAATCTAGATGTCCATTATCCGGAATGATCTATAATCCGGACACAAAGCCACAAACTTTTTCTTTTTTGTATGCTTTACGCATGCATGTAATGCATTTACGCATGTGCGTTTAATGTATAACAGATGGTATAAGCTAGGCTATAATTATCTTTACTGATTCTAAGGCATTTCAGTTAATGTTGCAGATTGTACTGTTCCTTAATCTTCTAATTGGATCCCACTTATTTTTTTTTTCAGACTGTTAGAGCAATTTTATAAAAATTAAGCTTGAACTTTCTATTATGTCAAAAAGATTTTCCAATTCTGGAGCTGCCAAAGGATCTACAGAGTGAAAGCATGTTTCAATGTTCCTCAAACAAAAAGTGCAATTGCTGCAAAAAAAGGATAAAAATATATCCGTCTCAAAATTATGCGAGGAGTATGACATTAAAAAGTCAACTGCATATGACTTTAACAAAAAGAAAAAGGAATATTTTGAATTTTTTGTGGATTCCGACACCCCACTTGCAATTAATAACAGAAAAACAGTTCATTATGTCAAAAGTGACAATTATGACTAAGTGATGATTGAATGGGTCAGACAGTGTCGCAGCGAAGGCGTGCCATTGATTAGTCTAATGCTAATGGCTCAAGCCAAAATATTTCATGAAGAAATTAACTTCAACACAAAGTGCACATATTCGACAGGTTGGTTAACCAAATTTAAAAATTGTCATGGTATAAGGCAATTAAAAATTTCAGGTGAAAAAGCTTCAGCTGATACTGAAGCTGCTGAACAATTCGCAGATGAATTCATTGAACTCATTACTAGTGAACAATTATCTCCAGAATAAATTTACAATGCTGATGAAACTGGTCTTTTCTGGCAATATGTACTGTGAAATACCTTTGCAACTTCTACAGAAAAGGCTCCAACTGGTGTCAAATATTCCAAAGCGCGACTAACAATTTTAGCATGCTCAAATGCTGCAGGAACGTGCAAGTGCAAACTTTTCATGATCAGAAAACATGCATGACCTTGAGCATTTAAAGAAGTAACGATTTTCCTTGTTATATATCGCGCAAATAAAAGAGCATGGCTGACACAAGTGCTGATGAATGATTGGTTTGAAAATCATTTTATACCCGAAGCTTGAAAATGCTTCTTTTTGTAATTACTTATAAACAGCCAAACGAAACTTAAAAATTAAATTATTAAAAATGTACTTATTAATGGCATTTACAGGTAACAGCCAAACAAAAAATTTTCACCAGTGAATTGGCAACTTTTCATGCTATGTGGATAATTAGAAAGTATTGATAATTCTGAAAATAAATACATAAATAAAAACTATTCCAGTAATTTTTCTAGTTAGGGTAGATTTAACCCCTTAACTGCCGCGGGCGTATATATACGCCTTGCTCAGCCGATGCGTTAACTGCCCCAGATGCGCAGCCGATGCGTTAACTTTGCGAATAATTTTAGGTGTAGCAGCGCAAAGCAAATGATAGCAGTTTGGAAGGACGTATATATACGCCTGGGGCAGTTAACGCATCGGCTGAGCAAGGCGTATATATACGCCCACTGCAGTTAAGGGGTTAAGGGTGCTCCTTGGATTATCGCCAAGTTGCAGTGTCCTGCTTGTACGAAGGAAATGTGTATGGTCGAACGGCGGAGGATACCGACACTACAGAGGATCTGCTTTTGTGAATTTACGTGTCGACGCCAGTATGCAGATTCTATTTCAGATAATTTTAGGAAGTTTTTGGATGCTGTTAAGGAATTTTGTTTGACTAAAGACATGGAAATTTCTAAATAAGGTAAGTGGATATTTCCTTTTTTATGCTATTTCACTAAAATGTAGTTTATTGAGATTACATATTTTCTGCTAGCTGTTCCTTTGACTTTTTAAGTGAAAATGGATTGATGTGTACATGGACAAAGTCAAGGGAGTGCGCAATGCCAAGTTTGTGAAATTCTCTGATTTTTTTTTAAGTGAAAACAGATCGATGTGCACATGGATACTGAATTTTTGCAATTCTTGGACTTGTTATTTTGGCTTTGATTAGTGGCAATTTTTGGCACAAAAATCGCTGCTACACAAAGCCAAAATAACATGTCAGAGAATTGCACGAACTCGGTGTCCATGTATCACCAAAAATCACCAATTTGCACTGAGGGGCTCCCGTAAAAATATTTTTACCATTTTTCCTTCAGAAATACAAGCCTATAAACATTCATTTGATGCCCCATCTAAATAAAGGCATGGAGAACGTTTTCAAAGGATAAATGGATATGGTTGAGATTTATAGAAATATAAATTCAGGTTCATAATTATTTGCAGTTTCAATTGATAAACTTTATGCAGAGGGTTTATGTACCACATCTACTCACATATAAGTGCTCCCTCGTGTTAATTGAGACTTGATTTTACTGTATATTTTATGGAACCTCATAATGTCAGATATTTAAATCAAATGTGAAAAACCTGCACTCCAAAGTGTATACATGTTCATACACCCACTACCCACATGGATAACATGGATAACAAAATGGAGTTTCAAATGCAGAGGATAGCAAATAAGATGCATTATGGGTGAATGATGACTACGAGGAAAAGAAACACGAATGATATGGATCCTTATAATGAAATGTTTATTGAAGATGAGGTTTTAAAGTAAGCAAAGATTATTGAGCACAAAATTTTGAATAAAATTTATTTTCTCTTTTTTTCCTAAAGAACTTCTTGTTTCGTTTTTAAAGTAATATTTTTTTTTTTTTGGTAATATAAAGTTATATTCCCTTTATTTTATAAAATGAAATTTATTTATAAATGTACCTTTTTTAACTTAACATTTTAATTTTACAAAATTACAGTGGTAGGTAAGTATAACAGCAATTACCTCCTAATCTAAGGATTGATTTCTAAAATAATACACAGACATGCAAAAAAAAAAGAAAGAAGAGAAAGAAGTGTGTTTATAAACACACATATTAATCATTTGATTTCACGATCAAATTTTGGCATTTATAGATTTATAGATCAACTTACATGGAAATATAATATTTCATGTACGATGACAAAACATGTAAAACCTTGTGCCTATGAAGAAGGAGATCTGTGTGAGGGATCTTTCCAAGGGAAACTGATTTGTATTCATGTTACCCATGTGGTATCATGGAAATATCCACGCAGCAAGCAATATGGGAGGATTTAAATGCAAGTTAAATTATCAGCATTCGGATGTAATGTTGAGCTGCATTTAGAGATGGAAGTTACCAGCACCGGATCTTTGATTTTTCTGATGTGGAGCAAAAGCTGCCGCCCTCACCCATCTTCCTTTAAGTTTCTCTAAAAGGTTTTAATTTCTTTAATACAGAAATAGGTAGGGTTTGAGGTAAAACCTAAGCTCCATTTTATACTAAATTCTTAACGTGCCGCCCCCCCCTTTTTTTTTTGCTATAAAGGAAAAAAACGTAACGAAGATACATAATTAGAAATTTGTCCCCTCCCAAATCTTTCTGGTGAGCTTACTTTCGTATTCAAGCCTAATCCTAACTCTAATCCTGAATGCTTCTAACCCTCCAGTCTGCGCCACCATTCGTTTTCCATTCTAGAGACAACGGGCAACCAATAAACTTCTCACTATTCCATATTATTGCATAACTGGTTAAATTAGGTTGGGTAAGATTATATGAATATGGCAAAGACAGGAGGGCTATCTGCTTAGAGGAGAGGTGCTTTCGTGGAGGAACTTTTTAAACGAAACTGGCTTGTATTCACATTACACATGAGGAAAATCCACGAAGAGAAACCATGCAGCCAGCCCGTTATTTCTGGTTTGAACCCAGGCAAGGTCGAACTACCAGTATTCAGCGGTCTTAATCACTTGGCCACTGCTCAGGACATTTGTTTGATTATTTACTATGTGTTTCGCCATTAGGCACTGCATGGAAAGGGAGGAATGCCTTATGGAAAAAAAAAATTTAAGGAGACTGACTGGTATCTGCTTAGAGGAAAGGTGCTTTCGTGGAGGAACTTTTTAAAGGAAACTGGCTTGTATTCAGATTACACATGAGGAAATCCACAAAAACAAACCATGTAGCCAGCCCATTCGCCTGGGTTTGAACACAGGCAAGGTCGAACTACCAATATACAGCGATCTTAATCACTCGGCCACTGCTGAGGACATTTGTCTGATTATTTACTATGTGTTTCGCCATTAGGCTCTGCATGGAAAAGGAGGAATATCCCGTGGAAAAAACTTTGTAAGTAAAACTGGCTTGTATCTATGTTACACACGGGGAAAATCACGGAAATACTCATACAGCCAGCCAATTCACCTATACTTGACCCTCGGACCGAACTACTAGTGCTCAGGGGCTTTTATTGCTCAGCTACTAATGGAACCATTGCATACAAAATATAGGCTATTACCAAAAGGACGTATTCTGAAACAATTATACAGAATATGGGCTAATACTGAGAGTATTCGTGCTTCCTGTCTTGTTTTTCATACTTCCTATTTCATAAGTAATTGAAAGTTCTTACCTGCTTTAACGCTATTAAAATATCATGGAATTAGTAATGAAAATTAAAATTTTACACTGTAAGCCTTTTGTTCTGCAAATAAGTGCATGGAATCGCCATAATGTGATCTGAAGTTTGATTTTCAGTTGCTAGAATCGCGAGACTCGATAAGCGCTCTTGCTCATCGATAATCATAGATATTTTTTAGTACGTTTTAATTTGCTGAAACTTCGATCTTAACAGGTTGAAGCGTTCGTGATT